CACACACACACACACACACGCACGCACATACACAAATTGATTTGTCAAAGGCTTCCCGCCACACCTAATCAATTGATCCTATTTTCTCTACATGTTGAAAGCAGCTTAAGTGTGTGTGTGTGTGTGTGTGTAATTCAATCCCTTTCACCTTCCTTAAGGATCACTGAGTACTGCTCCTGAGGTAGTCAAGCAATAAAGGCACAAGCTCTCTAAGTGGTGGGCTGAAGACAAACAAGTAATTCTATACATTTCCTGAAGTGTGCGTCGGTGTCTGTGTGATGGTGTGTGTTGGTGTAAAACACTCCATGCTCTCCTCTCCGACAGAGTGTCAATGTCAGTGATTGTCTTAAACGTTTTCTTTCCTTAGTTTAAAGCTGAAAAATACATGAGATATCTCCTCAGGGCTCGGCATTCAATCAGCGCCATTCAATAGCACTCAGGCTGGTGCCACGCTAAAGCTGCCCCCTGTGTCATCGGCGCTGACAGCAAAGGTTCCTGTCCTGTCTCCTATTGGACTGGAGCTCATTTATCGTCTTAGCCTCAGTCAGTGACACGGGATGCAACTGGATCGATGCTTGGTGGTGAATATTTAATATTGAATGCATGTGACACCGATGAAGAAGTGGAACATAGTGGTGATAGGGCTGTAGAGTCATAGGTTTGAATCCCTAAAGTGAGGGAAAAGCCGTCTCACCCTCCATTGCATGTATTGACTTATTGGAGAACATGTGCAGGTGATGGTTTGCACCCTCTTACTGGACAGAAGTGTCTCAATGGGAAAATGACCAAATTGCCTTGAACATTTCTCCTGGGTAATATTTTTAGACACAGAAGTTTATCTACTGTTTGTGAAGGATGTTTAAAATGTAAAAAAGAAACTCTAATCTCTATTGTCTTGAAACTTGGTGGGGTATGAGTCAAAGAAAAACCTATTAAGAACTCCATTTTGCAGCAAGTTCAATTTATCCATTTGGACCTGATGCAGCATCTGCATGCATATACTTTTAAGTTCGGGAGTGTGTGAATACCCTTAAGACTACGTCTGCCTGCTTCTCCCTTCAGAGGCAGATACGACGTGTGCGTCTCATCCATTATGTCATTGTTTTCGAGACGTGACTGATGAAGTACATCATGATCAGCTGAAAAACATGTGGCAAGGAAAGGTGCAACGGCTTACAGGAAATTGGAAAGCCTGCAAAAATACACATTTCAGACGATGGCTGGTGATCTTAGTGAGGGGAGCGATACTGAAACAGATTCTAGCAGATACTCCTTGATGAAAATAATAAAAATTACAATGTTGTCCCGCTGTCTCGGTTGATAAGAGACATGTTAGAGTAGGAAGAGGAGGCAGCGGATTTCCACAGGTTTGCTGGCTTTGTTGGTTTTCCCCAAAAAATATTTGTGCACCAATGAAAGCTAAATGTTTATGTTACCAAATCTTTTATATTCATGTTTCTATCTGCTTCAGAGGCTGAGAATTAAAGGTTTTTGTAAATTTTGGCAATTCTGCCAGCTCTTTCAAGCGCTCCGATTTTAAGTTTAAGGGGGCGGATCCCGTAATTCATTATTACATTTCTTGAACCTTTTGAGATATTCAACATTTTTGTGGATTTCTCAAAAAAACCTAATGCAGAGATCTTTATGTGTGGAGTGCTAATATCTCTGAGCTGGTGAGATTTGTTGATCCACATCTAATCTGGTGATTAAGTGGCTAATCAGTCTGGGTGGAAGTTAACACCTCTACTTTTTCTTAAGATAATAAATTGTCCAAGTTAATTATATCTTCTAATCCTTTATGGAAATGTGCATGTTTGTGTGCAGCCATAGCTTTGAGCATAGCTGTAATAGGTCCACCATTCAATGCTGTCAGCAAAGGGAGCCTTTGACTGGATGTGACTCAAATGTGTAATGAATTATAGAAAATAAAACCCACAGTCCTCCCTCTGTATAAAACTGTGCTCCAGAGTTCAGCTGAAGCAAGTTCGAAAATTCAAGCCTGAATCTTTCAAAGTCTATTTAGCTTGAAATCCCTTCTTCGTGTTCCCGTCCCTTTTTCTGCGGCTCTGCAAGCAGACACTACGCTGACGCACAGAAAGGTTTCACCCAGGAAGGAATCTCTGTGTGGCCAGTGTGGCCGGGAGAAACAGTTACAGTCTCTGGGGTATCGCCAATACAAACTCAATTTCAACCCATCTTTTAATAAAATGTTTTTCAAATTTTCAATAGTGTGCTATCTATATATGTCAGAGCTTTTTCAGTCATATGGAGAAATACAGTCGATGGTACAGATATCTTAAACTGCTGCTGATACGTGGTCTTTTCTCCTCATAGTAAGATATAGTAAAATATAAATATAGGCTACAGGAGTTCATTGCTTGAGGATTGTACTGGACTATATATTGTGTTGTTATCAAAGCCAATAAAACAGCACTAAGACAAAACTCCACTCTGATGCTGGCTTCTTTTTTTGGGAGCATTAACATTTCTACAGTAAGCTGTGCTTTACCTTTGGCAAGGCGTACTTGGGAAACCTCATCTGGACAAACTCGTTGCGCCGATAGGACACGTAATGCTTGGTACGATTCCCTGTGGTCACCTGGGAAGAGGGAGAGAAAATAGAATAAATAACACTCTCAACATAACATTTTCTGCAAGAAACAATCTGCAGACCATTCACGTTTTCTTCTTTACAAGCTTGTCTGACTAAGTCCTTCTTTTAATTATGATATTTTATCATACCATCATTGTATTATTTGACACAGTTCTATCTATTTTAGTTTTATATTTTATAAAGCAACTTATTTTCAAACTTTTGAAACAGATTCAGATTTTTATTTCTTTTACCTCATTTATTCTGCTCTTTTTTTTTAAACTTCATCAATCAATCAAATTAATTTGAAAAAATTTGTCTCAGGGTGTAACAATGTACGACATCCTCTGTCCTTAACCCTTACAAACTTTACAGCACCTTGAATCGACAGAACCTTTCTCTGCCTTTCAGATCTTTCATTCAGTAAACACACAATTCATAGTTAGAAGGAAACAGATTTTCAAACTGAACATGAAATTAAAATCAACCGCAGTGTCTGTGCCACTGAGGTCCAGAAAAACAAGAGACTGTAGCAACTAAAGGCATTTCCCTGCAGACAGAGGAGAAAAGCAAAATGAGGCCGTGGAGTTGAGGAGCAGAGGTCACCATCTGTCGGTGAGCAGGCGGAAAGTTAAACGCAAAGCCACCTCCTCTGTGCTGCACCCTGACATCACCTCACAACTTGGGACCTGTGCGTAAAAAGGCTGAACAAAGGGCTGAATCATGCCCCCCCCCACCGCTCTACTGCCTGCAGAGAGAGAAACATTCTGAAACAGAATACCTAATCAGCTGAGGCTGTGTTTTTCAGCAGAGGAAGGAGATCGCCGGTAACTGACAGTGACTTAACCAGGTGTCGAACACGTCATCCCCGGTGACGAGGTGGCTCAGACGCCGGCACACCTCTTTCTGTGAAACACATTCCCTGTCGCCGTTTGACTTGATGAGCAGTGCAAACGTTTTTTAGGCGGCTGCGTTCAGAATCTGATGGGGGAGCTTTGTATTCCGCTCTTCTATTTAGGCCTTTGTGAGAAGAGCGTTGTGTTTGTTTCCTCTCTGAATCAGTATTGTTGACGTTCAGATTGTGCTGAGATTACAATCATCACCTGCTATTGAAAGCAGCACACTGCAGCTTTTTTTGTGCTGAACTGTGATGAAAAAGTGATGAAACAATGAATTGATCATTCTTAAAAGTGAGAGCCCCTGCAGCAGGCTCTACCAACTACCTTTTCAATACAGGGATCACTTTCGGGATGACATTAAGTGAGTGTGTGCTTACTTTGCATTCTTTGCTGTAACTCAGCATATTTCTACAGTGATTCAACATTGGAAAGCACCAGGGGGGCCAGGTTCGAGCCCCAGCCCCTCATATCTAACCATTAAAATGATCAGGCTTTCCAAAAACACCTAATAATAATCAGAATAATAATACAGTTGACAGAAATGTGTTAATTAATTTCAACTTTGCTGCGTTCTCACCACAAGTGTAGTGAATTTATTGTTGCGTTACTTGCGTGAGTTTTGCCACAGGATCATTTTTGTTTACTTGCAGCTCTTAACCAACAAATATTCGCCCGTTCTCCTCTAAGTGCTGGCTGAAGTGTTGTGGAGAAGCTAGAGAAGCCAATGCCGTCGTGTGGGGCTCCACAAGACCACACACAGGCGCACGCTGGAGGTGGAGGCTCGGGGAATCTCACCTCTCCAGGAGCTGGGTCTGGATGACGGACGTTCCAGTGCAGTGGTCAGTTTGATGACCTGCCTGCTCGGATTGGTGGCAGGATCTGTCTCAGGTGAGTTTCATTCTCAATGCGTATCTATGCTCACAGGTGTTGGGGAACTCTACTGTTCATGTGGAACAAACAAAGTTGTATAAATCCTATAAAGTGTCAAGTGGGAGCTGCATGGAGTCGATGTGTCTGAAGAAACGACACTCACACACACATTTCTCCCACATCTGACATCAGTGGGCTAATCCATGAAGGATAACGGACCTGTCTACTGTTGCCTATGAGGATATAATTCGTCTCACACACACTCAACACGCCTGCATACAAACACACACACACACTCACACACAAGATACAACTCTTCCATCCCTCTGCACAGATTCTATACTATACCAGCTCATGTATACTCTTCTGTTATCACATGCAAATGGGATTCAGCCTCTGCCTCCTCAGAGTCTACAGTGCTGCGCTGCATGGCAAGTCAATTACAGACAAGACAAGATTCATTCTGCACACTGTCCTAATTCTCTCTCATCTCAAGCAGTGTGTTGTCGGAGCTGCAGAGTTTATCAGTCAAACCGACAGAAAGCTGCAGTCCCAGCTGTGTGCGCAAACACAACTGAATAGATACACTGGCAGATACAAAGCAACACACACAGACGCCGAATGATAACAAGTAGCAGGGGAGATGAAGGATTCAGGAAGATGCATTTAGAAATGTGCAACTCTGTGGTGTTAATTCTCTAATTGCTGCACTAAGTTTAGAAGTATGATTAATAAGAGAGCGCTGCTGAGACGAGCTTCCACTCCTTCCACTCCGCTCCACTGCTTTGAGCTGAGGAAAGGGAAGTTTACTTTGAGGCGATGACATAGTGGGAAGAGTTTTTGTTCAGAAAATCTCAAGAATTGGAAAAATGACTAGCCTCTCTCTTAGGTCCAGTTCAGACCTGGTATCAACATCTGTCCTCAGAGATCTGATCACATGTGGTTAGCGTTCAGTATGTGAGTTCACACGTGGTATTAAATGTGTCCTTGTAATGGGATCTCACTTCCCTGCTCTGCATGCAAGTGAAGGACAGGACATTTGCTCGCGAAGACCTAATTATGTTGTTGGTTGGACATTTGATGGTCAGTGTTTGGTCACACTAATTAAACGTATGGGAAAGAAGAAGAAGGTGCAAAAATACTTTGAGTCAGAAGTCGTCCGCCGATGTAAAAAGTATTATTTGTTTTGTTTTATTCTCATTATGCAGCTCAGGAGCATCTTTTGTCAAACCCTCTCAGCCTGATAAATGGCCACAATGTTCAAACTCCACGACCTCTGTACGAAACATAGACTTTTATTCAAAAACCAAACTGAGTTAACTGTTGTGGCAAATTCATTTTGAAAGTTAAAATCACATCACAACCACATGATTGGATTTTCTCCCATCAAAAATCAAAGCAAAGATCTACTTTCCAACATTGATTAGCAGGTTAATGGGAAATGCAGTTCTGATAGTGTGCAGCTTAGGAGGACATGCTTTTTATATTTAAGAGTCTTTACACCAGTTCATTGATTCTGGGAATTAATGAAGCAGCTTATTTAAGTTAAATCAGGCAGAACTGCTGCTTGCTCAAAACATTAGTACCTATAAACTTTCTGATGTTTTTACCTTGACAAATATGTAGTCGTCCTGCACCAACAGCGAATTGTGGTCGATTTTGCCGAGGAACTGAGCCGTCACCATTTTGTCTGAGCAGTTCTGGATGAGACAGGTGACGTACAGGTACCCTGCAGGGACACAAGGGGACAGACAAGGAGGAATGGTTATCAACTAATTGATCTAACAACACAATTTGGCTCACAGGGCTTCACAAGGTTCAATATCCTCTACCTTTGACTAAGAGTGAAGAATAACTACCCCCCCCCCCCAACAACAACACCCAGTAGAAACCTCAGAGAGAGCTACATGTGAGGGATCTCTCCCCCAGACCCAGAGAAAAGACATGTCTAAATAAATGATGAGGTGTATCAATGTTTAAACTATTTGTACATAAAAAGTCTGACAGAGATGAAGGGAGCAGCAGCAATGACGAATGTAATGATGTTGCCAGTAATAGTAGAATTATGTAAACTACAGATAAGAAAAAATAGAAGTGGTCACTCAGTAGAGCACATAGCTCCCCAAAGGCCCAACAGTCCTCTTATGAAACCACATTTACATTCAGTGATCCAGATATTTATTTGGATCTGCACCAGATTGCACACACTCATAAATATCAGCCAGCTAAACATGATCAAGATCCATGAATTATATATATACATATGTGTATATTGGTATCACATATGGGTGCCACCAGTACTAAGGATAACTGATATTTAAAAATGAATATTAATGATGTATCAATAATACACACACCATGATAATAATGTGTAAAGAAACCATCTGGTTCACACTCCACAATAATATAATTAAATAAACACAGCAGTATTTGTTGTAAAAAGTGACTAAACACACAGCAAACAGTTAAAAGTTAAAGTTAAAGTTTATTCTTGACTGAGCGTCATTATTATTATTACTGTTGGATGGATTAACATGAAACTTAGTGGAAGGCTGTGGTGAGAGGTGGTTTTGGTTTGGATCTGAAAATCTAAAATTACCAAAATTACCATTTTCCTTGATTTCTCAGAGAATACTTCATGGATCTCGATGAAAATAACATCAGGCATATTAAGGGGATTAATATTTATGAGTGTGTTGAATTTGATGCAGCTCTAAATAAAAATCTGGATCTAGAGAATTCAAATGTGGATTAAAAGGGGACTTGATTGAATTCAAGGGGACATGTTGGGCGGGGTGACATTTTAGTTATTATTTTCAAATTCTAAAGATATATTTTGAAATATATCCAGATCCATAGTACATAATAAACAGTAAAAGCTTGTCTGTAGCCTGTGATAGTAAGACACAGCTGTAAGAGTAATACTGAAATAAAGCAAAAATTGCAAAGCAAAAACATTGCTAATTTTCAATGCATTTTTAAAAATAATTTTTGTGGTTTCTTCTTTTGCAATAATCATGTAAAAATCTGGTATCATGACAGTGATAGTTTTGTTTGTTCCATGTGCATTTGCAACGGTTTAAATATTTAATACTGTAAAACACACAGGGAACAGATTAACTCACGTTCCAGGCTTTTTTTTTTTGCCAAATATATTTTGAATATTTACAGACTTTTAAAGCTCATCCAAGTAAAGTTCCAGCAAACAATGTGAGAGAGAAAAGTATCAGCAAAAAAAACCCAACAACTTTTTTCAGTATATGAAAAAAGTGCATTAAGCATAAACAGGCCAATGGACCAACAGAGACAGAAAGGAGGGAGAAACGATGGAGGACACACACTCGAGACAATGGAGGCAAATAGAAAAGTTGAGACATCATTTTCCAAACTGTATAAGATATGACAGCTTCCCCATAGACTTAAAGCAGTACTAGCATCCACATGGCCAGAAGGGATTATCTTCAGAGACACACTGAGAGGTTAGCGCCTGTTGCAAAGCTCCCTCAGTATTGAATTTCAACCAGCAGCTGCATCAGCAACATCGGCTGCTGAAATTCAGCCGTTATTCTCCACCCAGAGGTGACAAGCTGGCAATAGAGAGAACACACACACACACACACACACACACACACACACACACACGCACGCACGCACGCACGCACGCACGCACGCACGCGCACACACACACACACGGCTCTTTATTCAGCTGTGAGTTATGATAGCAGGGACACACATGGTGCACAAACCCACTTTTTTTGGATGACAACACTTATTTTGACCCACGACTGGCTACATCCTAAACCTGCACACAATGACTGCGATCGTCAACATGACGCCACAGTTAACAGATACGACTTAAGAGCTGAGCAACATCCTCCGTGGATCAGACGTTTACCACATTGACTTTGTCATAAGTCTTTAAAAACCGTTATTGTAACGATACACAGATGAGGCCGCGGTCTTCCATCACACAAACACCAAACCTCAGAGAGCTTTCAGCCTCCAGGGATGAGAATATGCTCAGCAAATTTCATGGAAATCTGATTATTAGATTATGAGATTTTAAGTGTAATGTTGCCAGTGGGCGCGACAGGACAGCAAATGGAAACGGTTCATCCATTCCTTTCAATTTCATGCAATCAGCCAAGTAGATTGTAAACATGAGGACATTTTTTATGTTACCTACTGAAATCAGACCCGATTGCCGGCCTCAAACCTGGGTACGTGGCTTCCTGTCGTAGGAACATGGGCCAATGATCAGAGTGATGGGACTGCAGAGATATGTAGCTCCCTTGCTTTATTGCCACAGTAATTCAGGTATAAGGTATAAGACATAAGTACCATGACTTCAAATAAGGACAAGGTTGAACAAATAAAGTAAGGCTGGTTTGACAAACAATAATTCAAGTGAAATTATTAGTACCATTGTGCCACACGTGAGTTTTTCTTTTGGTAACTACTTTTTCATTCTAGTGGCGGGTCTAGGATTTTTCTAAATCATGGGCCATAAACGGCCCACAGATTACACAGAGGGGTCAATTAGATGTCCAACATCAATGCATAATACCTGATTCAGTAAGAAGCACATTTAACTCATTACTTGTTTGCTGTTCGCTCTTCAGCTTTGATTCAAAGCCACACATCATTGAATAAATTCTTCTTTGTTCAAACACATTGTTCTCCATAGCTTACAAAATACAAATTCTTAACAAATTGTCAGATTTATTGTCTGCATTGATAGTAAGTGAATTGTTTTAAAAAAAAATAAAAAGTTCAGTTCACTTCAGGGGGCCATGATTTCAGCTGCTGCCCCCTGACTCCATCACTGGATCCACCCCTGTTTTATTAACCAATTCCCTGTGTTTGACACACAGGGAGGAATGGTTCATACAATCCATCAAATTTAATGGCCCATATTCACATATCACAATTTGCCTCAGAGGGCTTTACACGGTGTGACATCCTCTTCCCTTAACCCCTAAAGACTGAGGAAAAACTGCCAAGGAAAGAACCTCAGAGAGCGTCACATGTGAGGGGTTCCTCTCCCAGGACGGACAGAAGTTCAATCGATGCAGCGTGTGTGACTATAACAGCAGTGTAGCCCACCACTACCATGACATATGACATCAATACTGTTCCAACTGTTCAGTGACACCTTGCACCCAATGGATGGAGGCGTTGTCATCACGTTTCTCCAATTCTTTATCAGATTGCTCACATTCATCTGTTACCTGTCTCTGATTTACACTGGCACCTTTAAATATGTGCGACAACCTTGTTCCTCATTAGATTAAAAGCACCAGAGAACATAATCAAACACAATGAACCCAAATCGACGTAAAGTCCACATCACCATCCATCGGATCTGCACTCCTCTCTCGCACTCAGTCGTCTTTGTTCATGAGGTGTCTGGTCCAACAAATGGACTGACTAATTTATTGAAAAACCTGGACATTTAATCAAAGCAGCATACAGCAGAGAACTCATTAAAAAACTATTATATTGGACTATGTGTTCAGTTCCAGCTCGTGGCACTTCTTCATGCCACTTGCTGTCCTCGCACACCAGCGAACACAGACACACACACACACACACANACACACACACACACACACACACACACACACACACACACACACACACACACACACACACACACACACACACACACACATTTCCTGTGCAGCCGAGATAATATGACAAGGAAAACTCAAGAGTGGATAAATAGTGATTTTGAAAATATGAAAAAAAGTGAATTCTGGAATAATTTATGACATTAATTTGACAGCATGACACCTATCGTTAAAATGTTCACTGAAGGGTGTGTACTGTGTGTGGGGGGTGTTCGTGCACACATGTATATCCTGGTCTGTTTGTCTACAGGCCTCAAAACGCTTGCATGCCTGTGTGTATCAGCGCATGAACAAGGTGCGCTTGGCTTTCCTGCACATCAATCTCCCTAATGACACACACACACAGACACACTCCCTGCCAGCCTCCCTGTGCACATGGCTCATCCATCAATGGACCCCCCCCCCCCAATTTCTCTGGAGCCCCTGTCTCACTGCTCAGCGAGTGGTCCCCACTTGCACCCCCTAAAAGGCATGGGCACGGCTACTCGCCTCTGCAGAGACTCTCACAACTTTATGTCCGTCTTTGTAGCAGGCCGCCGTTTAACCTTGGCCGTGCCGCATGTGACGGGAGGAGGGTGAGATGGTGGGGAGTGCACGGGGCGAACAGATTGGTTTGGCATGCCTGATCGCGCCAGCCCCGCTTGACTATCTATTTATCTGGTCGCAGACGCAGGGAGAGGGAAAAGGGAAGGGAAGAGAATGCGAGGGAGGGGGAGAAGGAGTGCGGGGTGGACCATGTGGTGCTGCCTAGCCCCAGGAAGAGCTCTCAAGCCTGGGCAGCTGGCCCAGACAGACAGCCTCTCTTTTTCACCCTCAGCAAACACAGGCAGCCTTGTTCGGGCTGACAGCTTTCACATTGCAGGCAGCTTCTCTCTGTGTGTGGGTTAAAAAGACTGAGTGTCTCCTTGAGGGATTCAAGAAGTGTTGGTATTTTTTGTTGGAGGGAGTTTTATGGAGGACTAGAGTACGAGACTGCAAATATAAAAACATATCCTTCACTATCTGTCACCACTCTCTGACTCTGCCTACTCAGGTTTATTTAGAGTGGGGGGACTGGGTTGGGACACCCAGAGGAGTTGAAGTCCACACACACACACACACACACACACACACACACACACACACACACACACACACACACACACACACACACACACGGA